CCCCCCCCCCCCCAGTCTAAACAGATGTAGCTGTTTATCAGTCAGAGGATACCATTACAGGCTGCTCCTCTGTAGCTGAAACATCTGCATGATTTTGGAGCAATTGGTATATTTCAGGATGAGAGAAAAATATATTTTAATTAAAGGCATAGGTTTTACATTTGCTCTGGAGATAAGCATGAAGTGTTAACTTTAACCGATTCACTCTCTTTACTACTTAGCTCTGTAAAAAGCATCATTTTGGAATAAACAAGCCAGAGAAGATTACACAGTCTCCAGATGACACCAAATTTCTACTTAAGACCCTCACTCAAATTAAATCAAATGTGTCTGCTCCAAATAAAAAGAAGGTGAGGAACCATTTAATTTTGTGTGACTTTTCAAAGCGTTTTGACTTTGGCGTTTTGAAGATTGTGTTCCACTCAGTTTGAGATCTCTAAGGTATGCCCTGTACTAGATGGCAGAAATCTGATTTAGCAAAACATCTTGGTTGATCAGTACTTTTCAGAATTTCCCAGATCACTTCCAGTTTTACATTTCTGCCCATGTCCATGCTGCTTGTACTGCTTTCTGGAAACTGGTCTTAGCAGAAGTGTTTTGTGATTCATGAAATGCACGATGGCTTTGTGCCCAGTATCTCTATGAAGAATGAAACGCTCTGTTTTATTGAAGTATTTTGATCTTTCTTGTATTTTGATCAGCACTTTCTGGTGCCTTCCACTGAGAATATATCTCTTAGGCTCTGTGTGCCAGTCTGTAACTTGATTTATTGAAAAGGATATAACATGAACTTACTGAAAAGGATATACTATTCTTTCTTGAAGATTAAAGAAAGTAAAGAGAAAGAGAAGCTGGAGAAGAGATTATTGGAGGAACTATTCAAAATGTTCATGGATTCAGACTCCTTCTACTACAGTCTGACTTATGACCTAACAAACTCTGTACAGAGGCAAAGTGCATGTGAGAAAACTGATTTGCCACTCTGGAGGAAAGTAAGTATTTTGCACAGCAATCCTATGAAGTAAATTTGTATCCTGAATATAGATTAATTATGTGCTCCAAGTTCTACTGGTATTCATTTGGCAATTGGACTGGTCAGATCATCTGTGTAATTCTGATTTACACTGACTAAGATTTTGGTCCTACTGTGGGCTTCTTCCTAGTGCAGAGAGCAAAAATAATGAGAGCATGTCCTGAGCTCTTTTTCTCTCTATTTCAGATAGCAAAAAGCAAAGAGGTGGGAACTGGATATAACTATGCACAGGTGGTGACTGACTAATGGACAGTCTCTCCTGTGACTTAACTGAGAAGCTCTGCACAACCTCATTAAAAATACTGCAATTTTTACTCTCTTGCAGGTTGATGACAGATTCTTTTGGAACAAACACATGATTCAGGATCTCATAAATATTGGTGTGAGTAACTTGTCACTTACGTAAAATGTGTGTTCAGAGCTGATTAGAAAGAGATTTTTTTCTTGAGTAGGAGAATGTCCATGATTTTCTGCTTTCCTTGGAAATCAGTGTGCTGGACAGCTCAGTAGTTGGACTATTCACCAGCCTCCAGGCATCTTAACAGCTGGCCTGCTCCTGTCTTACCTTTTGGAGTGAGGTAGCTGGCTGGCAGGCTCACCAACTGCCTGTCTGGCAGGTGGCCAGTTTGAAGTATCCTGTCCATATCAGGCATGTGTAGGAATGGGTTCCAATTCAGCAGCACAGAATAGTATTATGCATGCTTTATGACAGAACTGACCTGACAAGCCAGCTGCCTGGGGAATTGGGGAGCCTGGATTCTACTTCAGCTTCTGTTTGCTCAAGACCATTTTTCCAGCCTTTCCCTTCTGTGAAGAACTTTGAAATTTTAAAATACTTTTTTCCAGCTTGAGAGATGAGACTTTTTCAAGAGGAAGGCTGTTACCCGTGTTACTTATAGTGCAGATAGCATCTGGGAACTGTTGTGTTAATGTTAATTTTTACGAGTAATGGACTTGCCTTGAAGGTGGGGCATAACCCACTTTTTAATGAAGCATTTCTTATATTTAAGATACTAACCTAAATTTTCAAGATTACTGTAGTAGAATAGCAGAGTTCCCAACTATTTAAAAGGTCAACATGTATAATAAAGCACAAAGATTTTCTTCTGGTAAAGGTGACATATTTGGGCTTGCTAGACACTTCAGGACATTTTCAGATACTAATTTTGATCGCTGTACACTTGATCTGAAACTCTTCTGTTTGTAAGAGCTTAATTCAAAAGATGAATGAAACATGTAATTCTTGGGGCACTTTCTCTTGACAGGGTCCTTTTACTGAAAACATTTTCGTTGTTGACAATGATTCCAAAGAGCCAGACAAAGTAAATTATTGTTAATGTGGGAAGAGATGAATTTTACAAAAGTGAAGAAAGCTGATTTTTTTTTTTTACTGCCCCCCCGCCCCCCGGTACCAGTAGAGAGAGGTGGTTAGTTGCATTAATCTTTAAGGCTAGGGACAGACATTTAAAAAGCCTGAGCCTGAATAGATTCAATCTTTGTAGGTCAGTCTAACTTGGCTAGGCTGAACCAGTTTGCAAGTGCACAGACGTTCCATCTGGGCTGAGAAAATGCAGACACATGCCTGCAGTGCCTTAGGCTAGAGGTCAGTGGTGGTAGTGGTGGTGGTGGGGTTAGTGCAATCCTCCCTTCTCTTCTACACTGCTGAACAGGGGGGAGGGTGTGGCCAGGTTCTGGCAGGATGCTCTAATTAGGGAGGGGATCCCCCTCCTTCGCTACTCCTGACATGTGAGTTGATAACACTGTTTAGCACCCCATCAAGAAAACAGAAGCCTTTCCCATTAGTTCAAGCTCTTCTTAAACAACAAGGAAGGAACGGAGGGACATTACCAGCTGACCTGTTGATTTAGCTCCAAAAATTTGTAAGCGGACACTGTCTTGTCTGCCTTACACAGACACCTCTCAGTATTAGCTAGCATAACACGTGCTGGCTATGTCTGTGCTGTGGGAGAGGGGATGCGGGTAATCCCTACTTGAGCAGGGAGTGGTGGGGTGGGTGGAGCTGGGGGGAAGCCAGGCAGAGATTGCTGGAGCTCCAGCCAGGGAGCAGAGGGGGGGAGCCAGTCCTGCATTGGAACAGAGAGCCCTGCCCAGGGCTGCAAAGCATCTGGAATGCTGGGGGATAACTCTGGTTTAAGTTAAACCAGGGAGGGGTCTGAGACAGACATTGCATAAACCGGTTTGACTGAAATCAGTTAAGTCTGATACTACGTTCAGCCAGGTTTATCTCAAACTGGTTTTGGCCATTTTGAAATTGCCGTGTGTGCACTGGACGTCTGTTCTGTTACAAGTTTAAATCAGTTTCTGATCACTTATCCAATTTTATGTGTAGTGTCTGTTCTTAGTCTAAGATGGTGCTAATAAAGGAGATAGTGTTTTTCTGGAAACTTCTGTGAGAATAGAGCTTGGTTGGTAAACCACCATGACAATTAAAGGTGGTTTCATCTGTTATCTGAGCAACAGTGAACATTTATTACGGATGTTAGAAATTTTAGTATGCATATCTTAATTCAATTTAATTACAGCAGTTTTCTCCATCCTTGCCTGGGAAAGATATTCTTCATTCTTCCACTTGGCAGATCATTTGAATTTTGTATTTTAATGAAGAATTAAATCAAGCAGGAGACCCTAAAGAGTAATACATATTCACCTTTGAAACAAGCTATGGGCTATTTTTCGTACTACAACAAAACAGAACTTTCAGAGCAAGCAAAGTGAACATGAAAGAATCAAAGTAAAAATTTCGCTTTAGTGTTGGTTGTAGCTATGTTAGTCTAAGGAGATCGGCAGACAAGGTTCTTTGGGTAGATGTGGTATCTTTTATTAGACCAACTAAGTAGTTGGAAGAATTGTTCTTTGCAAGCTTTTAGGCACAAACTATTTGGTTGGTCTAATAAAATATATCACATCTCCTAATGTTCACTTTGGATTTGTACTTTTTAAACAAATGTTTCTGTTCTCAGCTCAAGTAGTGGTACTACAAGGGTCAAGAGATGGTATTTTCCTTTTATGAGAGAATAGTTTCATCCAAGATATTAGTAGCAAGTGGTGAATGCTTTAAACCAGGAGTGTCAAACTTGTCTAGCCACATGGGCTGGATGAGGGATGCAGTACTGGTCTATGGATCTAATCACAAATTAGATATTTTTGATTTAAGAATTGGAGAAAGTAACATAATTTTAAGGAACTTTTACCAGTCAATCTAGCTATTCAACTATGTAATATATCTAGTTTCTACAGTATTTCTACAGTCTGACTATAATTAAAGGGGTATGGTTTCTTTTTGGACAGCATAGAAGCAATCATTCTTTGCTGTTTTAAGTAAGATTTATAGACAAAATCTATATAGGCCGAAAAGCTTCTTGCTGTGTATTTTTCTTTTTCTGTCTCTTGCCAGTTAAATTGCTCAAACTGAAGAAATTGGTGAACTTACTGATAAGGGAGAATGACAATATTGTTCTAATTTTCAAGGCAAACTTTTTTGACTGTGTGCTAGGTGAGAATTTAGGCAGGAGAAGCCAGAATGTTGTGGGACACTGTTTTGAATTGATGGCTTATGTAGAAGCCCATCACAAGATAAGAAAAACAACCTAATTTCCCAAGCAAGTTGTAAATTCAGTTATGCTGCTTTTTCCCATATGCTTTTAGGTATTTTGCATCTGGAAGGGCAGAGTGGAGTCTTTCCATTATGACACGAATAAAATCCTAGAAGTATTTGGTACTAATTTTAGTTAACTTTAGTCAATGAGCCTTTAAGCAAAAGAACGTATCTGACTACTGTCAAAAGAGCAAATATATAAAATCCATGTAAAAGTGTAACTTTCATTAATAAAAAGGGCACACTTCTTAATACACCATATAACTTTCTACTCTTGCTCTTCATCCATCCTAAACAAAAAGTCCTTTGATTTAACTAATTAAAAGCATCACAGCCTTTAGAAGAAACTAAATGATGAGACAAGGGAGTCTGAATTTTGGTTGGACTGGATTAGATATTGAGAAGATATTTTCAGACGTAGAATAACACCAGGCATTCCTGTTATAATAATAAATATCAGAAGTCTCTACACATTGAGCAAATACTTAGGGTGTCCCCCAATCCTCTCCCCCACCATAAAAGTACAACTGTTAATGTAATATTTTGTAATTTACAGAATGATGAAGTAGACTTCTGGATTATACCCATCATTCAGGGATTTGTACAGATTGAAGAGCTTGTAGTTAATTACAATGAGTCATCCGATGATGAGAAAAGCAGTCCAGAGACGCCGCCTCAGGAGTCAACTTGTGTAGATGACATTCACCCACGATTTCTGGTTGCGCTTATCTCACGCCGAAGTCGGCACAGAGCTGGTAAGCAGAGAGGCCCAAAATAAGCTCAACTATAATTTACAAACAATACTAAATTAGATGCAACTCTAAATTAATTCCTGAAATGTAAAAGTAAAACTTTTAAGAGTGCTGCATGGGTGGTTAAATGTTTCTTTTTTCTGTGGGTATCTATTATAACCTAATATTTATTTTTTTAAAGGACTTCATGTTTACTGCTGCACTTGTTCAGCTGTTCCTTCTTTTGGGTTTCATTAAGTCTATTATTTTCATTTTCATAATAGTTGGGAAGAGTTCACTGTTGACCTATTAAAAAAAAAAAAAAGAAAAAAAAA